TTGGCGTGACTGAAGACTGAAGCTGAGTTTGAGACAGATCCAGAAGGGCGTTTCCCAATAAAGGTAGTTTGTACTGGACCTAATCTGCTGCGTTCAATACTCCCAGAAAGAGCTAGGTTTAAGACAGGTCCAGAAGGGCGTTTCTCATTAAAGGTAGTTTGCACTGGACCTAGTCTGCTGCGTTCGATACTCCCAGAGGGGCGTTTCCCATTGAAGTAGTTTACACTGGGAGGAGACTTAGTTAAAGGGGCTTTTCCCATTTGAAGTACTTTGCACTAGCCTTAGTCTGCCGGTAATGGATTTCGGCACGATATTTATACCAATTAAATGCTGACTCGTCGACAGACACACTTTAGTAAAATTGATGTACAGAGTGGTATTTACTTAAGTAGTTGACAATACTATGCATATGTCGTTTTGAAATTCACGAAGTAACAGAAAAAACTAGACTGTATAAGGTTTGAGCAATTTCACATAGGACGCAACTTCAAACGACAGTAACTCAAAAAAGCGAATTTTTTCGAACTTTGTGCCCATGGACATTTTTAATCTATAGGTCAAGAACTATCAATATGCAAAATTTCATGAGATTCCACTGAGGGCCAGTTCTCATAAGGTTCCTGCGGGATCGGAAACAAAAATGATTTTGAACATATTTTCGATGTTAATATTATTATCAAGCCCCAAGTTAACTTTTTTGTTTTTTACTTTTAACTTTTTTCCATTGAAATCGATTTAAACCAATTTCAAATAAAAAATGTATACCTACTGCAGACCTAAAAAAACTAATAGGAGTCAAGATATTCGAAACTACATTCATTTCTAAAATATTTTTCTATATCCTCCTTATGGTTTTCGACCTTTTATCATTATTTTATCTTCACTATGTAGAAATAACCAACATTAAATATGCGTCAAAAAACAATTTGAAAAATCACAACTTCCTGAGAAATTCTTTGCTTCCACTAACTACTCGATATCAACTTATATTTCGATAGCTTTACCTACTGCACTGATAGATTAATAAAAATAAAAAAATAATAGTCCCAATTACGGTTCATTATTTTAAATTAATTTTATTTGATTGGTTATTAATGTGTCTGAAAAAACAATAATAATTTCGTGTTTATAGGTTTATTGTTCAAATATAAATTGTCCGGCTCTACGCCCCAGACCTATTCCCAATTGACTTTAATTGATAACCAATCAAAACATCATTGCCCAAGACAACATTGCATGACCTAGGTTAGTTTTGTTGTTATATATTTGCCAACTGGATAAAATTATCGAAACGAATAACAACCCAAAGTAAAAGTACAATCAAAGTGAAGTATTTGCTAATATGCACCTATGAAAAAAAATGAATCCCCTAATTTTTTTCTAAGTAACATTCAGAGGACATCTACATGGTGGACCAAATTTAAAGTAAGTTTATTTTTAAACTGATTTTTCAAAATAAACTGAGGTCAGGAGTGATTCTGATAGTTTTTGGGGATTTTTGTCACCCAGAACGTTTGGTTAGTGCATTAAAGATAGGGATTTATTATTGCCAAATAAATTTTAGATAACTTTTTTAAAAAAATACATTGAGAGAAACAATCCTGACCTAAGAGCCCCATTAAAATCCCTTCTCCAAAAATTGTTCGTAATCAGTAGGTAATTACAAAATTTGTTGTTTCGAATTGCGCAAATTGCGATGATAAGCTTCTTTTTTCAAAATAATGCTGTTGATTTCAATGTTTTCATTGATTACGTTCTAACAATATCTTCTAAAAATTGTCAGTAAATCTTGCTATTTTAAGACATTGATGAATATTTTTCACTTATTCGAAATTTGTCACTTTAGGTTCTAAGCCTAATATACCTATTCAATATTTTTATCTAATCTGTAATTTGTTTTAATTATCACAACAATAATTATTACTCCTGCCCGCTGTTTTGCAATCAATTAATCCAAAATGTTGGGTTTCAAATTTACATATTATTCTGTTTATTATACTTGATTGTCAACATCAACAAATATTATGCATTTTTATAAACAAAAACCAATCACTCGTAAGATATGATTTGGATGATCCATTAATAACCAAAACAAAATACATAATCAAATTCATCAATAATATATTTGGAAATTGGTTCCCCAAATAACAAAATGAAACTTGGGTTAGATTCATAAGGGCGGCTGACATGTAGACAATACAAAAAACAAGCACTCATGGTCTGCAAGAACATTGCGGGTAAAACATGATGGATTTGTAACCCATCAGTCCTAAGATGGATGTATATACCATGATAGTGAGACTAAGAAGCTAGGTATAGCCGAATCTAGCTAGGAACAGCTAGGATCCACATCAGTGCTAAAAGTAATCACTTTTAACACCAGTGTCATAAAATGACATTTTAAATTCTGACAGCATCCTTTAAAAATGACACTTTTAGTGACGTTTGTAGAAAATAGTACATTAAAATGTCTTATGAAACGAATATTTTATACTATTTTTTCTATTTTGGTTTTGTTTAATTAAGAAAAACAAATTTTTCTTGAACATTTTATTCTCATATTTCGTGATTTCATATGTTTAGGTTGGTAACACTACTTGCCAAATATAGAAATCTTCTATTATAAAATCGCGAATGACAGTTCGATGGCCATCAGTCAGCCAGTGTTACCAACCTTCGATAAGTAAAAAAGGAGTGTCACAAAGAGCTTCTTTTCGAAACTACTTTTAGTGTCGAAAAGACTTCGATATGAAACCAAAATAGAAAAAGATTTTTTAGAAATCTTATCAGTCTTGTCTTGTTTAAACGTTTATTTCAGTTACTTTAGGCTTTAAGTACAGGGTGTTTTTTATGTATTGACACCCTACCTACAGCTTTTACCTTTACAGGTAGAAGAAAGGTGTAAATACAAAAGTTGTACAGTTTTGACTGACTCTTTAGAAACCATGGTCAGAAACAAAATTTGAAGGTCAGAAATGTGAAATTTTGCATGCTTCCAGCTTTTTTCAAATTGGATGCCCTATATTTTATTCTATATTCCTAAAGAGCACAATGCCCCGATTCCAAAAATATAAAGTTTGTCTATATTTGATGGAACAGTCTCTCATATATTCGGCTCCAAAAATTGTAACCTACTACTGATTTTGTGAACCATTCTACCTGTACAGATGAAAGCTGCAGGTAAAATTTGAAGTACTTGGTTTCTCTGAGTAATTTTAAAATTTTTAGAACCAAATATGTTGGAAACGGCTCAACCAAATATGGACAAACTATATAGTTTTGGAATCGGAAAATTGTGCTCTTCAAGAATATAGAACCAAACAATGGCATCCCATTTGAAAAATGCTGAAAGCATGTAATATTTCACATTTCTGACATCCAATTTTTGCTTCTGACCATGGATTCCAAAAACTTAGCCAATACTGTACAACTTTTGTATTTACACCTTTCATCTAAGTACTTGTAAAAGCGAAGGCTGTCGATGGGGTGTCAATTTGAACAATAACTTCCTTTTAATAGGAATTAGGTCGTAATGTTACTTTACCAAACTAGTAACATAATGGTCATAATGTGACAAGTTATTCAAGTACAAATGAGTGAATTGTTGCAAAACTTATGGGTGGACCTCTGCGGGACGAGCGCAGCGAGTTCCGCAGCCATCTATTCATCAATATGTTGTTTAATTACGATACTTAACTGACTCACTCAAATGTACGTTATTCTCATTAGTTTAAAAATTACACGTTTCAGGTGAATGTCTTACTTAAACAGTTCAATAGTATATTGGTGAGTAGATGGCTGCGGAACTCGCTGCGCTCGTCCCGCAGAGGTCCACCCATAAGTTCTGCAACAATCCACTTATTTGTACTTCAACAATAACTTATTATATAAAGTCAGAATTTGTAAGATTATCCACTTTTTGTCAATTCGCCTTTTAACAGGAATTAGTAATGTTACTTTACCAAACTATGTAGTAATATATTGTGACAAGTTATTCAAGTAAAAACGAGTGGATTGTTGCGGAACTTATGGGTGAACCCAGCCATCTATTCACCAATATGCTGTTCAAGTACAATACTAATCTGATTCACTCAGTTGTGAATTTTTTTCATTAGTTCAAAAACTACACGTTTCAGGTGAGTGTCTTATTTGAACATTTGAACAGTATATTGGTGAGTAGATGGCTGCGGAACTCGCTACGCTCGTCCCGCAGAGGTCCACCCATAAGTTCCGCAATAATCCACTTATTTGTACAGGGTGTTTTTTTATCTATTGAAACCCCACCTACAGCCTTTACCTTTACAGGTAGAAGAAAGGTGTAAATACAAAAGTTATACAGTTTAGGCTGAATTTTTAGAAACCATGGTCAGAAACAAAATTTGAATGTCATAAATGTGAAATTTTGCATGCTTCCAGCTTTTTCAAATGTAATACGTTATATATCATTCTATAGTCTTGAAGAGCACAATGCCCCGATCTATATTTGATTGAACAATCTCTCATATATTTGGCTCTAAAAATTGTAAAAATACTATCCTACTACTGATTTTTTTCTATTTTGGTGTCATATCGAAGTCTTTTCGACACTAAAAGTAGTTTCGAAAAGAAGCCCTTTGTGACACTCCTTTTTTACTTATCGGAGGTTGGTAACACTGGCTGACTGATGGCCATCGAACTGTCATTCGCAATTTTATAATAGAAGATTTCTATATTTGGCAAGTAGTGTTACCAACCTGAACATATGAAATCAGGAAATATGAGAATAAAATGTCCAAGAAAAATTTGTTTTTCTTAATTAAACTATACCAAAATAGAAAAAATAGTATAAAATATTCGTTTCATAAGACATTTTATCGCACTCGCCCTTTAGAAAACTCGCCTCCGGCTCGTTTTCTAATATAGGGCAAAAAATACAAAGATTTTATAATGGTGTTTTGTTGAGGCACTAGGTTGTATTGAGCACCACCAATAACCCCAAATATCCAAAAAATGTCACTTACTTGTTGTAAACGGTGGATAAAACTGCTGTCCAATGTGACCTTGTCTTTGATTGTGCTGATGTATCGAAGCGTTCCAACTGAGAGCCGGATGTCTCGAGAACAGACCGCCTACAGGCGAATGTATCGACGGCTGTAGCCTCGCCTTCAACTCGTCTGTTGACGTGTGACCTGACGACGAACTGTCCACATCCGAAACGCCGGAATCGGCTGGACTCGGCGGCAGTGATCCTGAAACAAAAAATGCATTTTGTTTATTGAGTATGTTTAACTAGGCTCGCTGACCATCTCATTACAAGAGTTTTCATATTAAAGATGGATGGAAGAACCGAGTCAAATTCCAGGAATTTGAAGAACTCTAAAGATGTCTGAATTCAAATCATTTATACGCGGCAAGATAACCGATTAAAAAAAAAACAAAATCAGTGAAATCAGAGCCTTTAAAAGGGCCTTGAAAAAAAAAAAATGACGATACGTCATTAGTTCCGCTATACGACTTCCCTGACCCCTTTCTCTCACGCACCAACCGTAAACAAACCCAACGCACCCCATTGTCGAATGATTTTTTCCTTCCTTAAAACCTGTCCGAAAAAAAGGAAGATTCTCCTGGCCGCTGCTGCCCTTATGTCCGGTTTAAAATTCCTCTACACCGGAGGGGTCAAGTTGACCTTTGTGCCCCTAAAACCATTAATCATACCTTTATGCCTTTTTTATATTTTTTACTCGGACAGGGGTCATCTCTTAAGGTCCATCGCTACCAGTCGGCCAACGTTTTGTTCGTTTTAATTCGTATTTAGATGCCAATTGAAAGGGCTAGAAATATTCAGTTGGATGACAGTGTGGAACGTTTGGCGATTATGTCGTTATGTTGGCTGACCGTTGGAGACTTGCTGGCGATTTAGTTGCCAAAGATGTACAGGGGTTGCGTGATATTTTTTAAATTGGCTAATCTTTTGCAGTGGAAGGGACAGAGGAATGAATAATGGGCATTGAGAAACAGATTTTGATTGATAATGAACTGAAGTTGTGCATTTTAGTTTTATAAAATATTTGGTGTGACGTGAATAATCAAACTAAGCTTGATATAAAGTATAGAAAAATTGATTTTATTAATATTTCATAAGACATGATGACACAAATACCCTCTTGAAACCAAATTAGGTATACTTTTGTATAATGTAATAATGATATCCCTGACCCCTCACAAAAATCTTAGGATATCCACAAAAGACATTCAAGCCGTCTTGCTTACATCTTTAAGGCATCTTAAAGACATCTTGAAGAAGTCGTATGTTACAAAACCCAACGTCTTTCAGATGTCTACCTATAAAGACGTCTTTAGGAAACTTTAAGATGTGAATTTACGACATCTTATGAACGTCCTCAAAACAACGTCTTCTAGACGTGTTTCTTTTGTCTTCAGACGTTCAGATGTAATGCAAACCTAAAAAAAGACGTTTTTAAGACCTTGGGCGCTGTCTGGGTTTATATTTGTTAGGTACTTGAATCTAGATTTATTATAAATTACATAGTGCTTATATTAAAACTATTCTATAAATGAGTGTGTTATATGTTGTAACAAGGTTTATAAGAGCTTTTCAGAAGTTTTCATAAAAATATCAATGATACTTTTCGAGAAGTTTCAAAATTGACTGAACAGATGAAGTAGTTCTTCTATCAATGTTATCAATACAATAACAGCAATAGGAAGAGTACTTTGAGAATTACTGACAGAACAGCGGACAGAGGTTAAAGAAGAAAAAGAACAGACACGAAACAAAAACTGCAGGATCACCAATAAGAGTTATGCAAGAAGAAGTTAGAAAACACTGTAACTTCTTGAAAAATGGTAGGGCACCAGACCCAGGAGAAATATATGGAAAACTGATAAAGTATGGGACCAATAAACTCTACAAACATTCAACAAAACTATTTCAAACATGTATAGATAAACATGAAGTACCGGAAGAGTGGAGAATAAGCTATTTAACAACGATATATAAGAAAGGAGACAGAAACAAATGCGAGAACTACCGAGGAATTACAGTAACAAATACGCTGAGCAGAGTGTATGGAAAACTTATAGAAGCAAGAATAGAAAACGAGTACAAAGATAGTGAGGCAGAAGAACAGAACTTTGTAAATCTAAAGAGACCATATGACAATGTTTCTCTGAAAAAGCTTTGGGAAGCACTGGAAAAGACCAATATCAAACTTAGAACTAATAAAGGCAGTGAAAACGCTCTATAGTGATGCAAAGACCAAGATTAAACAGGGAAACCTGATCAGTAAAGGCTTTATAACAACTAAAGTACTTGAACAGGGATGCTGCATATCACCAACACTTTTTGAAATATACTTAGAACAAGCGCTCAAGGGGTGGAAAAACAAATGCAGACATATGGGAATACCTCTCAATGAATACAATCTATATACTTTACGCTTTGCAGATGATCAGGTATTAATTGCACAGGACTATGATGACCTAGAGTACATGACACGAAAATTGATAGAGTAATACAAGAAATGGGGTTTGAAAGTAAATGAAACTAAAACAGAATATATGACTATAGGAGATGAACAACGAACACAAGAAATGAAACAAAGTACTGAATACAAATATTTGAGCATTAAAATCTCACATGAGGGAACCCTAGACGAAGCAGTTAAGGAATATAGAAGCACGCATATATGGTGATATCTCTACTAAATGGTGTACTGTGAGACCAAAATATCAACAAAACTAGAATATACAACACCACAGTGAACAGTATAGTCACATATAGTTCAGAAGTCTGGCCACTAAAGAACAGAACCGCAAAAATACTGGAAGCAGCTGAAATGGACTTTTGGACGAGATCGGCAGGCAGGTTAAAAGTGGAAAAAATAACAAATCTGAGAGTTAGGGAGATTATGGACGCAGAACACACATAGTAGATGATATAAAGGACAAACAGCTGATTTGGTCCGGACATGTACACAGAATGGCAGATACGAGAATACCCAAGCAAATTATTAAGTGGAAGCCAGGGAAAAGAAGATGCGGCAGACCAAGAAGAAACTGAAGAAGTGGTGTAGACCAAGAAATGAGAGTTAGAGTTTTCGAGAAGGATGCCTGGATTGACAGAGATAGTTGGAGATCGGAATCGGAAGACGTAGAACGTTATAAACCGATAATTATATACATAAGTTATTCGAGTACTGCCCATTTACTATTCAATATCCTGTCCTGAGCTGAGCCTGAGGATGCATATTACGTAATAGTTGTCGACTTACTTTTGTTTAAATTGATATTACATAACTGAAATTCGAAATAAATTAATTACAAATATTATTACATAGGTATTAAATTTAGATTTACATTAAGATAGCAGATAATATACTTAAGTAAAAAGAGACAAAAATATTAAGAAATTCTGAACGGAAAATCATCGTCCTTTATAAAAATTGCCATCCCCTTATTTCGTGTCACCCTTGTAGCAGAAAAAAAAAACCATTCCACTTGCCAAATATTTAAGAATGTAGTGAGAACCAACGACCAGAAGGTTTTTGTTTCGCAATTTGCATAAGACATTCATCGCCTGAGGGATTGTTTTGATTTATTATTTCGTCGGACAAGAGGGATGGGGGTACGTGTACGTCCATAATATAGGCGCCCCGTATACGACCAGGGTCCGTGGAGGTATTATTACTATAGCCGGTTAATGGGACCAGTTTAATGGATTAAGTTTTTTGGCTTTATTTCTAACGGATTTTCGAGGTGATTGAGTGAAGAAACTTGAGAATGACCAGTGAAACTTGAAGAATCATAAAAGGGAATATAATTTTTTCGTTCATAGAGAAGATGTACTAAGTAGGTACATCAAATACCATAACGGTCATTCCTTGTTGTGAAGAAACTTGAGAATGACCAATGAAACTTGAAGAATCATAAAAGGGAATTTAGTTTATTGAAAAGATGTTTAATTAAATATCATCAAACGGTTATTCCTTAATTTATTCTTAGAAAAGAAGTGTGTAAATATCATTGTTAAATTCAAAATCACAACCTTAGAAAAAATAAATTTTTGACCATAAACAAGCCAAAAAAAAGACCCACCCCAAAAGGGTATACCCATTACACGATGTTTAACATCCTTGTGGTCCATTTGCCGACACTTCTACCCCTAATTGTGCGGTAAATCTTTTTTTTTGCTTTTTGTTGGCTACTGTTTCTTATTGTTGTGAGGACACTGGTAAACACACGCAAAAACTGTATACCTGAGATGGTCTAAAAAGGCACGAAAAAGAGATGATAGGATTAGGGAAATGATACTCTAACAAGAGATGGGAGATTTAAAGGTGACTTCCGCGTCAGAGAAGGATTTTTCAGAAGTAGCCCAAGGGTATAAGTTTCACACCTTTTATTATCCGGAATATAATAGGTGTGTTTTGTAAGTTTTCTAAGAGGATAATGATCGTAGAGGACCGACAATGAGATTAACATTATGCTATACCCATTGTCCATGTTTATATTTTTTTTGTATGCATAAATAAGTAGCCATCTGATTAGGGTAGAATCAAGAGGATAGAAGTGTTGAAATGATAACGGTTTATTGCTTTTTGATTTCTGAATTGATGTTTAAAATAATTTAGTTGCCTTTGGGAAAATATTGGCTTTCTAACGCCTTTTTGTCATTCACTGATTTCAATGGTCAGATGTGTCGAGACACTGTCACACAAATAAAGGAAAAATTCCCTATTCAAAATCCAAATTGATCGTCCGCATCGGGGTGACCATGCAAATATTTTTGTCTGTTCTACAAATCCTCGAGAAAAGAATACCACCGCACCACCCTTTCAGTTTAACGAGTCCACATTTCTTCCATACCCTTTTATTACGTAAAAAGGGCTAGTCCTTTTGTCATTCTAAGCAGCTGAGGGTATTTTCTTACTATTTACATCCGTATAAGGTTGCAAAACTGTTTTCTGCTTAACGCCCGTATAAACATATTATATGTGATCAACGAGAATTGATACTTAATTGGATTTTCTATCGTGAAATATTCTGAAGATAGTTTTTCATAAGCGTGTTGATCAAAGGAAACATATGGAAGATCATATGTTATCCTAGAAACCGTGGTCAGAAACAAAATTTGAATGTCAGAAATGTGAAATTTTGCAAGCTTCCAGCTTTTTTTAAATGGGATGCCCTATAGTTCATTCTATATTCTTGAAGAGCACAATGTCCCGATTCCAAAAATATATAGTTTGTCTATATTTGATGAACAGTCTCTCATATATTCGGCTCCAAAAATTGTAAAAATACTATCCTACTACTGATTTTGTGACGCATTCTACCTGTATAGGTGAAAGCTGCAAGTAAAATTTGAGGTACTTCGTTTTTCTGATAGTATTTTTAAAATTTTTAGAACCAAATATGTTGGAGACGGCTCAACCAAATACAGACAAACTATATAGTTTTGGAATCGGGAAATTGTGCTTTTCAAGAATATAGAACCAAATATAGAGCATCCCATTTCTGACATTCAATTTTTGTTTCTAACCATGGATTCTAAAAATTTAGCCAATAACTGTATAACTTTTGTATTTACACCTTTCACCTACTTGTAAAGGTGAAGGCTGTAGGTGGGGTGTCATTGTCAATACATAAAAAAACACCCTGTACTCAAACAATAACATATTATATAAAGTCAGAATTTGTAAGATTATCCACTTTTTGTCAATTTGCCTTTCAACAGGAATTCGTAATGTTACTTTACCAAACTAGAAATATAATGTGACAAGTTATGGGTGGACCTCTGCGGGACGAGCGCAGCGAGTTCCGCAGCCATCTATTCATTAATATGTTGTTTAATTACGATACTAAACTGACTCAGTCAAATGTGCGTTACTATCATTAGTTTAAAAATTACACGTTTCAGGTCAATATCTTACTTGAACAGTTCAACAGTATATTGGTGATTAGAGGTCTGCCCATAAGTTCCGCAACAATCCACTTATTTGTACTTGAACAATAACTTATTATATAAAGTCAGAATTTGTAAGATTATCCACTTTTTGTCAATTGGCCTTTTAACAAAAATTAGTAATGTAACTTCACCAAACTAGTAATGTATTGTGACAAGTTATTCGAGTACAAACGAAAGGATTGTTGCGGAACTTATGGGTGGACCTAGCCATCTATTCACCAATATGTTGTTCAAGTACAATACTAACCTGACTCATTCAGTTGTGAATTTTTCTCATTAGTTCAAAAACTACACGTTTCAGGTGAGTGTCTTATTTGTACAGTTCAACAGTATATTGGTGAGTAGATGGCTGCGGAACTCGCTGCGCTCGTCCCGCAGAGGGCCACCCATTAGTTCCGCAATAATCCACTATTTGTACAGGGTGTTTTTTTTTATATATTGACACCCCACTTACAGCCTTTACCTTCATAGATAGAAGAAAGGTGTAAATATAAAAGTTGTACAGTTTTGGCTGAATTTTTAGACACTATGGTCAGAAACAAAATTTGAATGGCAGAAATGTGAAATTTTGCATGCTTCTAGCTTTTTTCAAATGTGATCCCCTATATTTCATTCTATATTCTTGAAGAGCACAATGCCCCGATCTATGTTTGATTGACCAATATCTCATATATTTGGCTCCAAAAATTGTAAAAATACTATCCTACTACTGATTTTGTGAACCATTTTACCTGTACAGGTAAAATTTAAGGTACTTGGTTTCTTTGATAGTATTTTTAAAATTTTTAGAACCAAATATGTTGGAGACGGTCAACCAAATATAGACAAACTATATAGTTTTGGAATCAGGAAATTGTGTTCTTTATCCAATAAAATATATACCCCATTTCTTCCATATGTTCTCAATTTGTCGATTGCTGATAGGTACTTACTTGACCATTTTCTTGATTTGTAAATGTAGGTACTTTAAAATTTTGAGATTTGAGAAGAAGTAAAAGCACCACAGAAACTATGATTAACTTTAAAACCAAATTGAATTATAAGGAGAAATCTACGGTAAACTTAAGTTTTTCCAAGACAAGAGCCCACAGAAAATTCACCCGGATAACAACAGATGGAATGAAAAAATGCTAAATAGACTGCTGCTATTGTAGAGAGAAGATGTTTCAGTTATTACCATATTCAAACAGTGAACATAGAGTTTTGTGAACTGAAATCAAACTGTGAGTTATGTTTGAACGACAAAATGTTGTGAAGCTTTATTTCCATTCTATCAATTATCATTTAGAGTGCCTGTAAAAGAATTTCGGAGCTTACATACTAGGGAAGATAATTAGAAATATATAACATAAATAGCATAAATGATAAGTCAAAGTCAACCAAAATATTTTAAGAAGCAGCATCGCTTTGCTACATTGCAAGACATCTGGAACTCAGAATTGATAACCATTCTCAGGCACAGATCAAGAGGCAGATACAGCAAATGGTATGATGATTACTAGATTGAGACAAGTAGCTCAAAATAAAGTGAAATTAAGAGGGGTCTATATTCAAAACAAGCAACAAAAGCAAAAGAAACAGAAGAACAAGACGAAGAAGAAGAAGAAGCAGTTTTTAATCCTTCTTTTGCTGCAGTTTGGACATTTCGTTCCGGAACAAACATTAAGGTGAATGCCGTAAAGCTATGCATTTTTGATAGTTACCATTAGTTGGAAGTTGGAACAATGATAGGATTATCTACAACGACAACTTTTATCGGTTTTCAAATGAAGGATGAATCATAACCCAATTTCCTTTTGCTGGTTCCCAGGGGTAAACTGAAACTTTTCGAGAATCTGTTAGATTTGGAGCGCATCTTTCACAATTTTTGATTAACATAATGAAGGAAGTATAGCTTCATTTTTGTGATTCCTAATCAAGATGACCCTCATGAATTTTTGAACTATAAGTGCTTGGAATGAACATTCCAAACATCATCTTCATCTCATAAGTTCTATGTATCCAATCTCGTTGAAATTCATCCCAAAATTTGATGTATTATTACCCAAAAAGGATTACATCAGGGCCTCGACAGTTTGCTGTTTTTCGGAAAAATAAATTGTTGACAAAAGCACAAACACGTGCCCAAAGGGTCCGAAACGGCAGCTGTCGATGCGGGCACCCGAAATATCATATTATTATTTGTAATTGTGCAAAAAGGGTTACGCCGAATGTTTGAATAGAGAGGGTCAAATAGGCAAAATGGCATATATTTGTGCAGTTTTTGGGGATTATACCCTCGAGGTAGCGTGCGTATTGGATTTTCGGACACAAAAAACAAATTCCAACCGTCAAACATCTGTTCAAATATCAAAACCTGTCATTTTATTTGTACGTTTGCATTTTTCTTTTAAAATCTACCCTTATCCTTATAAAGCATCCCCTATTCTTTCGAGTAAAAAATCACAAATCCAGAACGTGTTCTAAGTGGTATTAGCAACCACCGCTTTTGCCTATTTTTTTTCAAAACTAGCCCTTTGCCGGACACTGGTCAGCCTGTGTCCGGTTTTCAGAACACCCTTAAATAGATACCCCTATAAAGAAACGAAAAGTGTGGGAAAGCGTACAATTTTTAAAATTCCATATAGGGTTTAAATCTGGTGTGCGTGGTGGAACTTGTTTTTTTTTTTTCTAAGATGGTCAGCAGTAGGTAATTTTGGAATCGGGGTGTAATTTGACACTTTGGGGAATTTTTGGAAACGGTTATTTACCTGTTGTTGTCGGATAAACGGCCTTTCTTCTTGCGTAGTCGCATAAGGACGGATGTTGGATATCACTTCTTTGTCTTGACAGTAGCTGGTGTAGGTAATTGTTTTGTTCTTTATCGACTGAAACAAAAAGAAAATCAATTAAAACAATGGGAAATTACTTTTTGGCTCGATCCGGTATGGTATGGTGTTGTAATAAAAATAATATTGTGCGAAGCACAAGAGGAAATCCTACCAACCTTGGCCAAATAATGAAAATAAAAAATTCACTTTCACTCTTCAAAAAAATTTAACAACGGTAAGTGAAGTATATACCAGGGAAGATTATGATTTTATGAATTTTCAACAGAAGTTCACGTGCATGTTAGATCATGTTTTATATACCTACTGATTCAAATAAGTTTCTATATAATACAGTCGAGTTGGAGAATTTGAAAGTCAGCATTGATTTGATTCAAATTCACTCCCAGTAAATATGATAACATTTCCAAGGAGAGTTTAGGAGTCAAGTAAGCTCATATTTCCTAAAGAATATACAGGCAAATTCCCTCGTATATTTGAACCGAAATTCGTGGTATAAAAATTGCAAACTCGCTATTATTATACGTTGGGTATATTCGCAATTGACCTCAATTCAACCGTTGAAGACATAATAGCCTGTGGCTTACTTTTAATGAACAATGCTCTAAAAGTTTGTGGGAGGAGGAGGAGATCGTCATTTATTAAACAATCATTATTATTATAAGATAGAAGGCAATTAAATAACAACAAATCTAATAAAGTTTTATTTTTCATATTTACACCAAAATAATTGCGATAATTTTTTCCTTTATCTATAAGTTCTAGTCATTACGGAATATTTACACTTTTTAAGTTATTGACCCAATGTTTTTGCAAAATAGAAAAAATCAATGAGGCAATATAGTGTGGATTAGTTCAAAAGTCTTTATTTAAGAGGATTATTTCCACGTTTCTTAGCACTTTCCCTTTTTCCATTGTTCCGTGTTCTGGGTGTTGGAAAATCGATTCGACTAGACTGTTTCCGACCTTTTGGGTCAGCATCGCCATTTTCCCTTGTTGTTTTGTCGAGCGTTATACACAGTAATGTCAACTTTTTTGGGAAAAAAAATGGAAAACACGAGACATTTTAGCACTTTAAACTGGACAAAGTTCGTGCAGACAAAACTCATTTTTGTTTATTTTTTTCGGCGGTATGGTATCGATGAACTTGGGGCGGGTTGTTTTTCAGTATACACAAAGGAAAATAAAATAGAAACTTGTACTCGATAGTTTTATATCGTGAATTTTGTTCATTAGGAAGACATGGAAAAGGGCACTAGCCTTTCTTTGTCTGGTGAATTTCATTTATTTGGATTTGCAAATGAGAAGTGCTGGAAAAATGTTGTTTTTACTCGTACTAAATGGAGAAACTATCTTTACGATACAACTTCTTTATTATTATAATAGTAGCTGAATGTTGTTTTAGATAGGCAGAAAGCTGACAGGTTGGAGAGAGAATATTTCCATAAATAGACATCCAAGACAAAGCTATTGAACTATGAAGGCTCTTTAATGGGTGTTTATGGACAAACTACACTTATCTGTGAAACTAATAATAAAAAACACAATGTAGTGTTCATTGTAGTCAACTCTAATGCTCCAAGCATAATTGGTCTTTGATTTGTTGAGATATTTAGTCTGCTAAAGATAGTAAGAGTAGGATATGTGATTGATAGTCTAGTAAAAAAATACGACCATATTTTTCAAGGCATTGGTGAATTGACAAATTCATATAAAATTCAGTTGAAGAAAAAGGTAGAGCCAGTTGTAGAACCTCCAAGAAAAATTGCAATCAGCCTTCAGCAGTCAGTTAAAAATGAGCTACATAAAATAAAATGGAGAAAATGGGTGTTCTGAGAAAAGTGACTGAACCAACTGAGGTGCAGTTCTATGGTCATTGTAAAAAAATCCAGACAATAGTCTTCGAATTTGTTTAGACCCACAAAATCTGAATAAATCCATAGTACATGAGTGGTATCAGCTTCCAACTTTTGAGGAAATTGCATCCAAGATGGAAGGGGCAAATATTTTTTCAATACTGGACGGCAATAAAGGGCTTTTATCAGATCAAGTTGCATGAAGAAAGTGAAATACTTGCTGGGTGTTATGGGCGATATTGTTATAGGAGAATGCCTTATGGACTGTGCTCTGCACCAGAAGCTTTTCATCGTACATTCAAGAATATTTTTGATTGACTTCCAGGAGTGGAAATTTACATAGATGATGTTATAGTCTGGGCAGCGAATAAAGAAGAACACGCCAAAAGACTGGAAGCAGTGTTAGACAAAGCTAAATGTGCCAATGTTCGTTTCAATCGACTCAAGTGTAAATTCGGGTAAAGTGAAGTACGTTATATAGGTCATGTGTTTACAAAAAATGGTTTACGTCCTGGTAAAGACAAGGCGAGTGCTATTTTGCAAAGATTTATTGTTGGCGGAGTACATGAAAATACATTGCAAGGCAATACAAAGCTCTACAAAGGAGTGCATGTTACTACATGGGTTTAGTACCTACTGTTGACAGAAAATATGCTGTCTTAGCTAATAACTCAAAAGTACCATGAAATATGTAGTTATGCTTTATCTACTTCAGCAATGTAGTCAGCCTCAAGCCAAGTAAAAGTACATAGCTTAGGTTTAAAAAAATTGAGTCGGTATTTGTTGTTCTCTATTCCAATACATCTACCAATATACCATTGATGTTCATAAGCGACAGCGTTATATTTCAACATTATGGTTTTCGAGATGATTCCATTTGAAGTATCTTCTTTACTTGAGGTTTTTAAATGCATTTCGTCATCTGAAGAATCTTCAACAACTATATTATGCTTCATCTGTACCTCATTCTCAGATGTAGATACACTCGGATCTAGATGTAGAGCTCAACGTAAATTCTGTCCCTACAAAATTTTGAATTTTTCTTAATCTCTTTAATTCCTTTTTTAGGATTTCTTGTCTTTTGGTGTGGCTAGCTGATGAACTGGAATTAGGCAGAGTTCTATTGCTGAAATAAAATCTTCGCAGTCTGTCTGTATACTTACTTTAAACCAGAACTCATCTAGAAGCCAACATAACGAGGACTTTTAATATGGACATATGTTTTCTTTCGCTTCACCTTAACATAAGGAGATTTTTCTGTATGGCAGCTCCAGTAAATTTATTGGAGAAATCTTCCAAATCCAATGAGTCTGATTCCTCTTCAGATGGATGTGGAATAATGTTTCCTCTGATGTTTTCTTGAGCCATAGTGTCATCAGTAAGATGGTTCAATATGGTTTTCAAGTTCTCCTATTTCAATTCCGTTAAATTCGACGTATAATGTATCGTTTATCTCTTGTTCTATGAATAATGGCAAATCTTAATTATTGCAGTCATTTTTATCAACAGCAATTTCTAATATCACAGAATCATTGAGAACACAGAACATTGAGAACGTCATTTAGAGCTGCATTTACACATGTTTTTAGGTTTATGGACAATTTAGGTTGAACAGGCTTGAAATAACCCCAAAAATAGACAAATTGGCAACACTGAATGTTTGTTTGACTTGCGCAGATAATAACAGCTAAAAATAGTGGTGAAGACCCGCGTAAACATTAGAATTTTGAGAGAATAAACTCGAGAATACATAGGTACATAAGAATACATAGGGCATACATAAAAATACATTGGATTACATGAGAAAAAAGAATACATTGGCGGTTTACCCCTTGTAAATCCCCGAATCATCATAGGAAATCCTAGAAGTTTGAAAGTCAGCTCAAGATGATCAAAAAAATGCCTTGATTCTTGATAGAGAAACAGTACTGGTTTTGACCAACATGACTCTTCTGAGGCTTCCATCCAAGCTGCTATTCTGCTAATTGGATAATAACTGTCAGCAGTCAAAATGCTGATGCCATTGCCCACTTTCACACAGTGTTTTGCCGAAGAACATTATCATTGACGGATTTCAATGAAGTTGAGACCTCATGGTGTAATTGCATAACTTCAAGATGGAATTGTGAAAACATCGCAACCGGATCATAAAAAGGAAAAGTAAAAATGGCATAAAATTGACACCATTCATAGATTGATTTCAGCTAAGTATGTATTATCAAAAAAAAAATGGCTTGTTTTATAATAGCCACCAAAGATCAAAATCAGCCAGATAACCACATATGTCAACCAACGCCCATCAAATAACAATAAACCGAACATTACCATATATTACACCCGAAAATATGATTAAAGCCTATTCATCGTTTTCAATACATAATATACAGCGCAAAAAAAAAACTTTCACTGATTTTGCAAATGCAACTTGTATTTAAATTTCGGCACACGTTGTATTGTTACAAGAGTTTTGCAACTTTTTCAGTTTGAGAACAATGAGATTTTTGCAGTGGGTTAGGTCCCGAAATTAAATGTGTTTCGAAATTTTTCTTATGATTGATCAAAGCAAAATGTCAATCTACTTAAAAATAGGATCTTATTTGTAGGTGGATATCCTGTGCTAAATAAAAAACAATTATAATTTAAAACGTTAGCCAACAAATCCAGGAAATCCGCGGTGGTATACGCAAGCTTCCTCTTATAGTTCTAGAAATTCCTACAAAATTATGACAAATACTGGTTGGTATTGGCCTAAATTGTTTTCATTAAACCATTGGAAAATTTAATTGTTTATATAATTCAGTATCCAAGCCCTCACATGCCTGGATGGTGTCGAAATTTTAATTGTTTGCTTGTATAAAACTATTAATATGTTTATACAATTAAAAGATAACAATTTTTTTCTGCTTGAGTTGAATTATTTCCTTATGTAATAATCTATCGAGGAATTAAAAAATTATTGTTTTGATTCGTTAGAAGGTTGGATTATAAAATAAATTTGGAAAATAATAAATAATAATTTTGGGTACGTTTCAATTTTTCCACGTTCGATATACGTGTGACATTAATATATGCATTTGAGAATATTACAAAAAACAAAATGAGGACATTTTAAAGTTTTGTCATATGTATGAACAAGATGGTTTCTCAAAGGTATTATTCAAATAAATTGAAATACGGTTTATC